GAGACCAGCTTTTGTTGGTTACTAGCTTTGGGATCTGGGGCATGGTTCTTAAGCAGCTTGTGCCTCAGTTTCTTTATCTGTAAAGCAGGGCAGGTGACAGTGCCCAAACTCATAAGACTGTTGGTGGCATTTCATGAGATGATGCTTGGGAAGTGCCTAGAGCAGTGCCTGGCCTATGTCAAACATTCGCTAAATAACAAATTTTACTGATGTAGGAGAAATAGCACAGGCCATATTACCCTGGGTTAGTTCAAGGGAGCATGGGGGTTCCCCACTGGGGTAGAGTCAGTCAAATGAGTTACACTGCAGGGAGAGGAGGCAGGTTTTGATTGAAGTGAGAGTGTGTATCAGTTGCCATCCACACGAACAGCTCTGTGCCCGAAGGGGGAGGAGATTCAGCATCCTCCTCGGAGTCTGAGCAGTGTCACTTGGCCATTGAGTAAAGGCCTAGGAAAGCAAATACAACAGATGAATATCTGGAAAGAGGTGGAAGGCCGGGAAGAAGAGAACCAGAAGAGTTACTCCTAGAATTCCTGTCTTGCCCAGCATTTCCCTTCTGTCCCCGCCATACAGAGCAAAGGCGGACAGGGGCCCAAGAGCCTGGTGTCACCTCTCCAGGATTCACCAGCTTTGGAAGGATGCTTGCCTGCCCAATCTCCAGACAGTCGCAAACCCTTCCCAAAGACAAACCTTTTTCCAACACTCTGCTCTAAAAATGACCCACGTCTCGGGAGGTGAGGCCAGGGCTCACCACTGAATGGGCCTCATTGTCCTCCCAAGCGTCTGTAGGTCCAGATGCCTTTGGCCTGGAGGTGCGGCCTGCGGTGCAGTCTGCCTGCAGGCTTTGATTCACTCCAGGGACAACACTCAGAAAAATCAAACAGGCAACACATACGATTCCAGTAGCTCCTGCCAGACTCATACTCTGTTTTTCCATCATTTCCCTCTCCTCCTCCTCAGGAGGGAGCCTCCTTTGGCATTTTGTGTATAAAAACTCAAAACCACCCACAGGATAAGCACCTGATAAGGAGCGAGGCATTGCCCAAGAGTTACCAGGAAGAGGCGTCTTTGTTCTTGTTTCAAGCCCTTGACACTGCTAACAGCTCTAATTACTGAATTTGCCATGGGATGTAAAATAAAACCGCATTCCAGAAACCATGTAGTCTCTCGGGGAGAGACATGTAGGGAGAGGTGCCCAGGGTTGCAGGAACGTGTTCTTTCATTTCTGGTCCCTAACCTTGGCAGCTATTCTGAGAATGTAACAGTACCTTCTTTATGTGCACGGAGAAGGCCACTTTTGCACATGTAAGGGTCTATCTCACTACCTGTATCCATAAATATGGGCTGCATATTTGACTACATTGTGTGCAAAGCATGCTCCTTAAGGGCCTTAGGACTTTACTCATTCACCCAAGCCTTTCTGGGGGACATGGGCACTTCACAAGTTCCTGAGGCTGCAAGCACAACAAAATGGAACTTCTTCTAGCCTAATTTAACTATAAAATCTGATGATGTAACACCCACCCACACCCACATCACAAACCAAAGTGACATCACAAATACTAGAGATAATGGTTCAAAACTGTCTGCACGTGAGCCAAAAATCTAAACAAACTACAATTTGCTCATACATAACTGAGGCAGAGAAAGATAGGTGACTAGAAATATTAAAACAAACCAAAGCAAAACAACAACAAAAAAAGCAAAAGAGAAAAAGGGAAAATACATATTTCTTCCCCCTACTAAGCTAGCTAAAATAAAATTTAAGGCAACTGAAATATGGTAAGGTGATTTTTATTTTTTTATAGATGACATTTCTTAGAAGGCCAGGTCTCTCTCTCTCTCTCTCTCTTTTTTTTTTTTTCCAGGTCTCTTTAAGTGTGTGATTCTAATCTATCCAAATTGTTCCCTTGTTCTTGGCTGGTTCCAGGAATGGAAGTCAGCATCACTTACCTTGTGCCTTTGCCTTTAGGAAACCCAGGATTTCCAGCTGAGTGACCCTTCTTGGCTCACGGTGGACTGGTTAGAGAGTGTATTCAGGGTTTGGTAGAACTTTACGTGGCGTCATTTCTGTCTTGCAGCAGCTTGAGGGGTGACTATATCTCCTATAGGACTCTCTAGTGATCCTGTCTCCATTCCTTTTCTGTCCCCGCAGACAGGAATTGTCTTTGATTCCTTGTAAATGCTTCCCAAACCTCTGCTTCCAGCCCAAGCATTGCTGTGTTCTTTGGGAGCCTGGATATCATTGTGACTGTGTTTCCCTACTTGGTACAAAAGTCTCTGGGTGAGCGGGAGAGAAAATGGATAGATTTCTAAGAGCTGTGTGGAAGGGATGATGTGTAAAAAGGTGTTACTACTTTGCCTCCAAAGTGGGCCTTCTGGTCCCTGCTTGAGAACTGGTCTTGTTTTCATTCCCTTTTCTCCCCTTCTAATTCTAGCATCCAATCTATGTGAGACGAGAGCCCAGCATCCCCACGTACGGGCTCCGTCGGTCCATCTTACTGAACACCAGGCTTCAGGACTGCTATGTGGACGCTCGGGCTCTCGCCAGCCCCTGGGCGGCCAGAGTGTGTGCAGAGCAGAACATCAGGTCCCCAGCACCAGGTACCACCTCTTCTTGGGAAGTCGTAAAGAATCCGTTCATTGCCAGTTCGGTCTCCCTGATTAAGCTGGTGCTCAGGCGACAGCTGAAAGAGAAGTGTTGCCCAGGACCACGCAAGTTTGGAGAAGCAAAGCCCTCAAAGAGATTAAAGCGTAAGGACAATTCAGCAACGAAAGCCACGCAGGGGGGCAGGGTAAGAAACCCCATCACTTCCAAGGGCAAAGGGCCGGTGGGGCAGCACCCTGGCTCACCCTCACCGAGGCTCAGGAAACCCGCAGGAGGCGTCAGCAAGGTACGTGCGGCTGCCGGTGGAGAAGACCTGGGAGTGGGGACAGGGAAGCATCAGCTAGGGACACTTACTGCTGAAGTGATTCATACAGACTGAAGGAAATCCTAAAGTTAAAGACAGGACTGTGGAGGTGGGGACGGGGATGCAGGGGAAGGTGACACAAGGGAGACAGCACAGGTCTGCGCTCGGGCTACTTACGCTCTGCCCAGTTCTACAGGACGCAGTGGCTTTCATAACCACAGGCTAAAGGAACTTGACTTGGAGGGAAAATAAGTGGGAAAAGCCAGGATATGGGCAGCGCCCTTAGGCACACACCCCCCCCCCCCAAACACCGGAGGTGAGCCACAGATCGGGCCGTGAACTTAGACGCAGGGAACCTGGCATCCAGAGGCCCATCGCTCCACGGGGCCAGCTGGGCCACTTTAACTGTAGTTGAGGACAACCATGGGCTTAGCTTCTTCCTGCCTCCGTCTTTGTCATGTACAAAATAGGGGAATGACAGTCCTTCCCCCATGGGGTTTCATGAGGATTGAGCTAATGTAATGCAAAGGGTTTTTGAACAGAACCTGGCACATAGGGATCCCTGGGTGGCGCAGCGGTTTGGCGCCTGCCTTTGGCCCAGGGCACGATCCTGGAGACCCGGGATCGAGTCCCACGTCGGGCTCCCGGTGCATGGAGCCTGCTTCTCCCTCTGCCTGTGTCTCTGCCTCTCTCTCTCTCTCACTGTGTGCCTATCATAAAAAAAAAAAAAAAAAAAAAAAAGAACCTGGCACAGAGTAAACGCGTAAGATCCCGCGTGGCATTCAGTAGGTGACACTGTGGCTTAGGAACCTTCTAACCCTGCTGGCTTGGGCAAACCCGTTCCAATTTCCTTGCCTTTAGATCTACCTCCTGCTGACCTTACAGGGTTATGGGGAACACACGCAGTGGCGTCCATGAGGAATTCCATAAACCAGAACCCACTAGACCAATGTTGGTGGTGGCTGTAACCAAGTCTGGGACACAAATCCCAGATAATTATTTTGAGCTCCCTTCTCAAGTTTTAGCTTTGACTTCTCTGCTTTCTTCCTGGCCAGAGTAAAGAAAGTTCAAAGGAGAAAAAAGTAACTGTCCGCCAAGATCTTGAGAGCAGATATGCTGAACATGTGGCTGCCACCCAAGCACTACCCGGGGACACCGGGACAGCGGCCTGGAAGGGCCAAGCGTTGCTTCCTGAAACCAGAAAGAGACAGCAGTTGTCAGAGGACAAGCTAACCATCCACGGCCTCCCCATGGAGAGTTACAGGGCTCTGTACCACTCTGTGGTTGAGCCGATGCTGTGGAATCCTTCAGGGACCCCCAAGAGGTATAGCTTGGAGCTGGGCAAGGCCATCAAACAGAAGCTCTGGGAGGCTCTGCACAGTCAGGCTGCCACTCCCGAGGGTGCTCAGGACCCACTGCCTGGCAGGATGCAGCTGGAGGTCCACAAGGAGCCTGTGCCCAAGAAATGGCACAAGTTAAAGAGTGAGAAATAGGAACAGGAGCTCACCGGCTTAGGATATTCTCTCCTAGATGTCTGAAAAATAAACACCACTTTGCACCTTCCACATAATCTTGGAGTGCTTTACAAATTAGTAACTCCCTCCCTGGGAAATAAGACCAATGGGTATGAGATTCATTTCATACTGATGGCCATTCTTTACTCTCACTATGAGGTCATTTTGAGGGCTAAATGCTTAGGGTCTTTTCCCTACAAGCCCCCTTTCCTTAATAGGGGTTTGAGGGTCTCTCAGTCGTTCAGGTAGGAAAAGGCCAGGCAGAGGAAGTCAACAGTTTAAATCCAGCCCATGTTCCTTACTTTGAAAAGTGGACCATAACTGCCCTCACTCACTCCACATATGGCTGAGCAGAAAAACCATGACCATCTCAAGGACATAATCTCACAGACTCTCCATCAGATGCTCCCTCATGACACCACCCCAGGCCCCAACAACACAAACTCTATGTAAATGGGAGAGGAAATCCTACAGATGTTTACATGAACAAGGAGGAAGTCAAAGGCATTGCTTCACGCAAACTTCTCCCTGGTGGGATCTACAGATCTTTACCATACAGAGCAATGACAACATGTAACGCATACTTGATAAAATTGTATTTTTTTTTACAGTCATTTGTACAATTTGTTACAAAACCATAGAAGACTACAACTTGTTTGAAATCATTTTTGGTCGGCAAATATGTAAAATCTGTGTGCAATTATCATGTATTTACAGGGCCTCGTGTTAGTCATTTTCAATGATTATTCCAACAATGTCACGCTCTCAACATAAGACATGGCTTAAGATAAATATATTAGTAAATAAATATTCTGAGAACATATTTCCATAAATGAAATGTGCTGCTATACATATACAGAATATACATAAGTTGTTTTCTAGCCTTTAAAACATTAAAAAAAATGGTAATGTTGGAGAAGGAGCCCTTAGACCATTTTATTACAAAATCTTTACAGCAAAGTCTTTACAAAATATCTTTTAAGTGCTATGGGAGAAATAAAAAACAAAACAAAACAAAACATTTTAAAATAGTGTCGTTAGACCAACACAATAGAGTCTATATAAAGAATAGAAAAAGGCAGGTCTGTTTAAAAAATAATACTCAGATTAGTAATTATTTTTTAGACCTCATTTTAAAAGCATTAGTCCTGCATGAGCTTTGAGTAGAAACTAGCAGCACATAAGGGAGGGTCTGAGTGGTGGGACAGCAGATTGGGCTTTATAAAATGGCTTGGGTTCAAGAGAGGTGGGAGAGATTGAGAGAGTCAGAGCCAGCATAGAGAGGTACCTTGATCAGAATTCCCAAACCCTCATATTTTTAACTGGTTCCAGTACTCTGGAGTTTACATGGCTGTCCTATACCCAGGGCTCGGCCATAGGGACCAGGCCTAACAGTCACAATCTGGCTTGGGGGTGGGCAGTGATGGTGCAGATTCTCAATGGAAAATGTGATGCTCCCAGTTTCCAAGGCTATATGACCCCAACACACCACTGAGAGGCCACTGACAAAGGTCATGATTACTGGAGTCTTAAAATCTTCAAAGAAGACATTTCTTTTGATTTAAATGGTGAGGCAATAATAGAGTTGTTCCTATATTCTGGTGACCTCCCTGTCTGGTGAATTTAAGACAATGGCTGATATTTAAAATTTTAACATTTTCACTTTTCTGCTTCTACTGCCCTGTAAAGTACAAAAATTAAATGTTGTTTCTTTTTGCCATCTGTAATTATTGCTCTTTCAAATGAAAATTGGACACATTTATTTTAATAAGCCCCGTGGAAGCCACATTATCTACTCATCTATTTATTGCTTAAGGCTATTGAGGAGTAGTTTCCCAGACTGGGCTAAAGAAAGCCACTTTGAGGGTATGGTTTCAGACAAAGGAGATAATGTGCACTCAAAGGCATTAAAAACAAAACGACAAAAAAACAAAACCACAAAACAACAAAAATCTCAACAATGAGAAGCTGCTTTTTGCAGTTCATGTTAGAAGCCATACTCCCCACCCCCTTCCCTAAAACCACGTAATGCAAGCTGTTGTCCTTAGCAGCTGCTACTCCTGGCCTGAGAAATAAAGGCAGTCCGGATCACATGTCAACAGCTTAGGCGCTTCTCACACCCTCGCCAACAGGTGTGCTGGGCATAGGCCCGGGTGGGGGCGGGGGGCAGCAGCCCCCAAAGGACTATACCTCAGAGGCTGGAGGACAAATCTCACTGCACTGAGTTCCTAAATGGCAAATGGCTTGATCATTTGATGCTAGAATTTCTTTCTGTCAAAGCCTGGCTAGAAGGCTAAATGTCCTCATCACCGGCTGGGTTTAAAAAAAAAAAAAAAAAAAAAAAAAAGCAAAAAGGATTGGGATACAGTGAGATTCTCAGTCAAAAACATTCTCGTCTGGACCCTGGACTGACTTCCCCTGAACTTACTGGAGAGGGGGTATCACCATTGTTGAAGGGCAAGCCTGGGCAGTCTCTGTTTCCCCACTACAGGGGGGCTAGGCCATGAGGTTCCTATTCCGCAAATGAGCATTTCAGATGACAATAAATGGATAAAATAAAAGTGACCAGAGGAGTTAGTGAACACAAGGGGCTAATGTGATTAGTTTCTTCTTAAAAAAAAAAAACAAAAAAACAAAAAACCCTTTAAGAACAAGAAGTACATTGGACAAAAAGGATGACAATCCCTGATCTGAAATAGCTTTAAATAGATTCTCCCTTTTACAATGGAAACATCTTTTTAAAAAAATGGTTTGGGTTTTAAAACTCTCCCTCCCTCTTAAGAACAGCAAAAGGCTGGAAAAATATACAAAATCCTACCCTTTGGGTCTAAACTATCTGATAGTCTCTTTCTCTGTCTCACGGAGAATCAATACATAATAGTGCATTAGGTAGAAGGGATAGTAGACATTTGCAGGCGAGATGAGCAAGTTCAGCCATGAGGCAGCGGGCTGAATAACCCTGAAGCGGGGCTTCCATAGGGGATGGGATGGGAAATGCATCACTCCAACGGAGGGAGCTCGGTGCTGACCCCGTGGGGCCCCCCAGGAAGGCAGCCCCAGGACACTGGCTGTGCCCACACAGATGCCTGTGTGCAGGCACTTTCTAGCGCCCCCTGTGCCTTCTCTGGGTTAGTGAGACCACTTTCCGCCCTCCACCCCATCCAGACACTAAGGTTGCAAAACGACATTCCTCCTGGGTGTTCATCCCCACACACCCCTTCCAACCATTTCTGCAGCCAGTGGCAGGAAGTCCAAGTTCAGGACTGTGAACTCTGTCCTTTTACCTAAGACGATGACCCGAAGGGACAGACTGAGGACACTGGGCTGCATCGTCCCTGTCACTCCGGGGCTTGTGTGGCAATGGCTTGTCCCAGCTCCTCAGAGCTGCAGACCTTCCGCCCTATTCCTAGCTGTTTCCGTCAGCTGCCTACAGGTGTGGGCTGGAGAGGCATGGCTTCTGAGAAGACCCGAAACTTTGTACGTTGGGATTTACCACAAGAAAGAAAGAGGCAGCATTGCATTGTTCCTCAGAGTTTGTACCCATATCAACTAGCTTTACTTCAAGTTTCTGGTTCATTTTCTAAGGCAGGTGTAGCCCTGAGCTTTTCAAAGGCCTGAGCTCCCTCCTGGGAGACAACAGTATCTACACGATGTGGTTCAATTAATGCAGCAGTGATTTCTTTTTTTTTTTTTTCTTTTTCAGCAAAAGTTGGCGGTTAGGGTTCTTTAAAATATATATTTAAATAACTTTTTACATTTACATATAATATCTTAAAAAACAAAGCAGAGAACTCAATCCCACACACCTCAGAACCCCAAGCACACACACTTTACAAAACAGAATATACCATGTTATCAAAAGAGGCAAAGGACTCAGAGAAATTTTGTCTGTTGGTTTGTTAATGGGGGTGGGGTGGGGGCAGTTTGCCACAGGTGGCTCACATTTTGGGTTGAGAAGGAGGGCTCTCTTTATTACCACTTTTGTGTGTTTGTCAATGCTAAAAAAAATTTTTTTTTTTTCTGAAGGAAGTCAGAGCTTGGAGTCTCCATATAGTCCCCATTTCCACGTATGAGTTCCTTCTGAGCTCAGGCTCCCGTGCCACTGTCTGCTGGGCGAGATCTCTGTCCTAGAGAGAGATAAAAATAATCAGAACTGGCCCTGGAGGCCCTGGGCACAACGCATGGGGACCAGGCAAGGGACCTGGGTGCCCATCCCCAGCATTACAGGCTCTCAGGAATTGACAGCTCACAATACCACATGGACCATGAATGCTTTGGAAACAGAGCTCCTTTGCTGAGAGCTCCTCATTCTGTGCTGGGGCACAGGTGCCTGCTAGACAGACAGGTGCCTGCTAGACAGACAGCTTCCTTCATCTGGAGGTGCAGAGACTTCTGGAAGCCCTTAGGCAGCATGAAAACACATACAACAGATGCACATCTGGCACTGGTACAGGCCCTGGGAAGAACAGAGGAGACCCCAGACCCTCCCTCAGGTTGTGATAGCCCGGGAAATAAATAGAGGGTGTGACAGTGACCTTGGACAAGGCTGGAGGGGGTGATTTTAGCTCAGATCTGGAGAAGCAGCAGAGAAGTCTGGAAGTTGCAGTGAACTTGGATTGTTGGGGTAACAGGACAGAGGTCAAAGGAAGCTCAAGTAGCAAGGAAGTGAGTGAAGCCGGAGGTAGTCCAAGGCAAGGGATAGGCAGGGGGCAGATCATACAGAAAGGGGTGAAGTTTACATTTTTAAAATTTAGAGGTAGTGGCAAGTCACTGAAGGGTTTTCTGGTGTAAAGACATGTATTTCTAAAAAGACCACTGGGGGAAAATAAATAAAAATAAAAATAAAAAGACCACTGGGGCTCCCATACAGAATGGAAAGCTCAGAGCAGTGAGAGATCCATCAGGCCCCTGGCTTGGCCTTGGAGAAAGGAAACAGCTCTGGTCAGGGAGACGGCAGGTGGGAATGCGGGAGAGAGAAATTAGGGTGATACTTTGGAAGTGGAACGTGTAGTGGTGCTACTCAAAGGTGCTGGACTGCTTGTTACTGACACAAAATGTTTGGAAACTTTATAGCAATTTGATGAGGTCTGCTGAATCGAATGACAATTCTGGACTTGGATTTTGCATGTTGTTTGCTAAGTTTCATTTTTCTGGGGATTTGATTTTCCGGACAAGGGTGAAAAATAAGCCCATGTGGTCCTCACAGGCAGGTTGAGAAGTCCAGGACGCTGGAGTATGGAGGGTGGGGTGGGCTCAGGGATAGTGCCGGGTTTGGGCCTGAGCATCTGGGTGGGGAGCCTGGAGGAAGGGGGCGGCACGCAAGGGGAAGAATTTGAGAGTACTGCAGTGGACCTGACAGGGTGGGATGCTTGTGAAACTCAGAGAAACAGAAGGCCTAATGGGGGTCAAGGGTGCCTGGGTGGCTCAGTCGGTTAAGCATCTGCCTTTCGCTCAGGTTATGATCCCAAAGTCCTGGGGTCAAGCCCCATGTCGGGTTCCCTGCTCAGTGGGGAGCCTGCTTCTCCCTCTCCCTCTCTCCACTGATTGTGCTCTCTCTCTCCCAAATAAATAACAAACACAATCTTTAAAAAAAAAAAAAAAAGAAAGAAAGCTTAATGGGTTTGGAACACAGGGCGGGGATTAAAACTTCAGAAGTCATTAGGTGCAGATGGCATTTAAAGTGGAGGGCACAGGGCAGCTGTGGTGGCTCAGCGGTTTAGCGCCGCCTTCAGTCCAGGGCCTGATCCTGGAGACCTGGGATCGAGTCCCACATCAGGCTCACTGCATGGAGCCTGCTTCTCCCTCTGCCTATGTCTCTGCCTCTCTCTCTCTCTCTCTCTCTCTCTCTCTCTCTCTGTGTGTGTGTGTGTCTATCATGAATAAACAAATAAAATCTTCAGAAAAAATAAAGTGGAGGGCACAAAGGAAGTCACTTAGAAAACAACTCGGAGAAAGAGGAGAACCCTGACTCTGGCCCACCATCCTCTCCTGCTCTCACCTGCAGCCTCAGTGGCTGTGATGCTGGACTCCTGAGTGTCCTGGGGGGCACCAGGAAAGCCAGCCCTGGTGGCCTCTGCACCTTCCAGCGGGCAGCTGGGCGAGAGCAGCACCCCAGCCTGGCAGCACAGAACTGGTTCTTCTTCCCGGGCCGCTCCTAGGCCTCTGTGGGGCCGCAGGGCATCCGGGCCCAGCGTCCCACCCCAGGGGCCGAGGCCATGAGTCCCTTGGCAGTCCGAGGGCAGGCCTAAGTCACCGTCCACATCCTCTGGAATGATGGGGATGCGCTGGCTCAGGTCCCGGGCCCCCTGGTGGCAGCCGGGCGGGGGCTCCTGGGCAAGCGCGTACTGCACGCTCACCGAGCAGTCCTCATTGTAGCAGCCGCTGCCCCCTCCGCTGCCGTGGGCCACCTGCTTTTCTTCATAGAAGCAGCAGGGCAAGCCCTCATATTTCACCCCATCTGTCCTGGGCAAATGGTCTGGGTGAAGGCCGTACAGGCCCTGGGGGCTTCCTGGCTGGGCCTCCCCGCCTGGGGCGCCCAGGAACAGTGTGCTGCCCCCGGCCACTCCGACGCCAGGCTCCAGTGTGGAGGGCTGGGGCTCGCAGCAGCAGGCACATGACAGCCCCTCGCGGGCCCCCTTCCAGGTCCTCCTGAGGTCCGGGGCAGCCCCAGGAGAAGCCTCGAGCCCCACTTCTGAGGTAGAGCTAGTGGGCCCCCTGTGCTCCAGGGAGGAGCTGCTGCTATAGTTCATCTCCAGGCTGCAGGTGGACAGCTGGTCCCCCGAGGGCGAGGCGGGGCCAGGCCAAGGCTCTCCCCGCCCCGCACCTTGACCGTGGGCCGCTGGGAGTTCGTCTGGTGGCGGGGAGCCCTCGAGGCACATGACAGGCCCCCGGCCTGAGCTGCCCGAGCCCCCCACGTCGCTGGTGCGACCGGGGCTCCGGCTGCGGTAGATGAAGGGGTCATAGTCACTGCTGAGGGAGCTGCGGAAGGTGGAGCAGCTCCCATACACGCCCTGGTTGCTGACCTCGGTACAATCCACTACGGAGTCGCTGGAGGAGCAGTGGCATTGGCCTGAGCTGCTGCTGCTGCTGCTGCTGTCGCTGCCAGGGCAGTCGGCCAGGTAGCCGCTGCATACCGAGCGGTGACCGTGGTAGCAGCCGAAGCTGGACGTGCTGCCACTCTCGAGGTGGGAGGGTGGTGCCATGTGCACCACGGTGGGGAAGAGCAGGCTGCCGCCGCCACTCGGGGGGAAGGCACGGGATGGGCCCCGGGGGGTAAGGCCGGTGGGGGCCTGGCCCTCCTGCTCAGGGTAGCTGAGGCCCTGGAAGTAGTAGTGTTGGTACATGGTCTCGTACTGGGAGAAGCAAGCTGCCTTGGAGAAGCTGCGGCCGCTGAACTTGGGCCTGCGGAAGGGGTGAGCTGGCGAGTAGGCCCGGTGCTCCAGGCCGCAGCGGTGCGGGGCCAGGCTGTGGTCCAGGTGGAGGGGCGGGTAGCCGCGGATGTAGGTGGGGGTCTGTGGGGAATAGAGACTCTGCTCCCCGTGTCGGTCCACGGTCAGCAGGGTGACGGGGTTCCCGTGGGAGTCCATGCTTGTCCTGGTCGGGTAGGCGGGGATGGCGTTGGTCCTGTGCACGCGGCCGGGGTAGTGCACCGGCAGGATCACCCTCTGCTGCCGGCTGCGCGCAAGGTTGCTGGTCTCCACGCACACAGTGCTTGGGTTTCCCTTTTGCTCTGGGGAGAAGGGGGTAGGGGGGTCTAAGTCAGCGGGGCTGAGGACACGAGTGCCAGGGGCTGGAGGGATAAATGGGGGCAGACAGTGAAGCAGCAGGCTTGGTCACGTGCCCATGTGCCCAGTCTCACGACTCGGGCCCCTTCTAAGCTGTCACCAAACCTGGCCACGCTGGCATAGGCTGACCCACTTCTCTGTCTGAAGGGCAGCCACACCTGTAAGGGCCCATTGCACGCCTCCCTTCAGCCTGGCCTGACAAAGACATTAAGGGAGTTTGCACACAGCAACAAAGATACCAAGACGAAAGGCACGTTCCCTCTAGAAAACCAGCTATCTGGAGTATGTCCTGCATTCCGGCCCCCTCATCCAACACCACAGGTGATGCAGGAGTGCCTCCACAACCCTGCCACCTCACATTCATCTCTTGTGGCATGGGAACAACCCCATGGTATTGGGCATGGGGGCATCATCACTGTCCTTCCCGCTAAGGAGATTATAGGCCTAAGGCCTGGAGAGGCCAGATGCCTTGCTCAAGGTCAGGAAGGTGGTTCACGTGAAAGCCAAAATGTCAACTTAGGGCGATGCTTCAGGCCAGACTCTCTTAAGGGTTTGGAGACTGAGTAAACTCCAAAACCCAGCCCCCCCCACCCCCCCCCGGTCTGGAGGGCAATTCTCGCTCACCGGTCTGCAGCATGTGTCACACTCTTGCTAGGCAATCAGTAGGGACAGTGACTCTTCAGCAACAATGGAGGCAGATGACAATTACCTATGATGTTGTGCCGACAGTGGGGGCAGGTGTGGTGCTGCAGCAGCCATGGGTCTACGCACTTCCTGTGAAAGCGGTGAGTACAGGGGATAACCCGCAGCTCCTAGGAAGGGAGAGAGGACACGTGGCCTGAAGGCAGGACCCACGTGGAGAGCAGTCCTGCCTCCAGCCCCATATGTTCTTCTTCCTGAGGAGTCCAGCATGGATCAAGAAGCCTTGTTCCTCATTGCAGTGCCAGAGGCTTCCTTTTCACTCACCTCCCCGCCTCTAGCAACAGGTGGACACCACTCCCTGGAGTCAGTACCCATGTCTGGCTTCTAGGGAGAAGCCACAACCATAGTCCTCAGCATTCAGGAAGGAAGCAGGCTCCTTTCTGGTTGCCAGAGGAAGGCATTCACATTCATTCCACACATCAGGGAAAACCAAAGCCAAGAGTTTCTGCAGCCCCAGGCATGTGGAGAGAAGACTAGGTATCCTCAGAGACCTTATGCATCTCTGGGGTGGTGGCTCCCTCCAGGCACTCTAACTGGGCATGAGTAGAAAGGATGCCCAGGATTTGTAATTGATAGGTGTGGCAGCAAAGAGGCAAAGCTCTCCTGTCCTCTCCTTCACTGGACCCTGAATACTCACCTGAGGGAACATGGTTTATGACAAAGCAGCCTATGTAGAGAGGAGGAGATGGGGCTTTCTAGAGTACAAGCACCTCTGGAGTTCCCAAGCCAAAGGACCCCTGCTCCACAGTTTGCTAACGTTACTTTGCTTTTTCATTCTCCGACCAGCTCAGTACAATAACGTTGAAATTAATACCTAATCTTGTTCCTGACCGTGGGAGGGTTCTACTTGTAACCTTCACGATCACCTGAAGCGCAGGTCAGTCTTGGGCCTCTGTCACAGGGTAGGCACAGAGAATGAAGCCACTTGCCCAAGATCACAAAGCTAGAACCTGCCTGGCCCAGGACTGCAATATAGGCAGTCAGCTCCTAAAGACCATTCAAAACTCTCTTAACTTAAAGGCCTCTGCAAAAACTCATTTGCACCTGATAGTCTATATGGGAGTGGAACACCTGCATTAAAGGGGCATCAAATGCCTGTAGCTGATTCTGAAGTGCTTTGTTCCCCACTCCCCAAAATGTGTGTTTGCATGCCTCCCTCTGGGAAGATTAAGCAAACATGGCACAATGTTAACAAATAGTGATTCCAGGTGAATGACACATCATTCACTGTATGACTCATGCAGCTTTCCTGAAGGCGTGACATTTTCAGGATAAAAAGCTAGAAGAAAAAAGGGAGGGGGGCGGCATCATATCTCCTCTCCTAAGTAAAAACACCCAGTGCTCCATGTGGCTTTGCAGGAGAGGTTTGCTTCCACTCAAGTATCAGTTTTCAGAAGAGGGATTCTAAGATTAAGTCAATATGTGTCAATGTTCTTAACACCAGACATTTTCTGGCCTACCATGTATTTCTGATCAATTTCTGAAATTACATGGGTGGAAGCTGGGTCCTCTGGAGAAAGCGTCTCTGCATTGTGGCCACCCACTTCTAGAGGAGCTAGAGTGTCTCAGGCTACCCCCTTGAGACCTAGGCATTTAAAACCCTTCTGCTCCTGCAAAGCTGTGTGAAAAGGACCTGGGCCCCCCCCCCCCTTCCAGGTCATGTGTGCTTCTGTGGACCTGTCCACCTCATCCCCAGCCAGGATGGGCCCTGCCTCTGCTCTGTCATTACCTCTCCATCAATGTACTTCTCCAGGCAGATGGCACAGTCGGACGTGGAGCTGCTGCTGAGTGTGTCCAGAGCCCCACAGCTCCCCTCCCGGCGCCCCTTACTCTTGGAGTTGAACTTTCTGGTTTCCATCTTCTCCAGAGCCTGTACAGCCAGCCTGTTCATGGAGTTCTGTGGCAGAATGTGTTAGGGTCTGTGTTAGGGTCCAGGACATATTTGTAGTGGTAGTCACCCCTAGAGCCATGGCACCCAATGCACGGGGACATGCGCTAGTCCTCTGTCAGACTTTTGACAAAATGTTAGAAATTAAGACTGCACAGATTTTTCAGACTCTTGAGTTGACTTGAACCCAGGCTCCTCCCAAGTGGCAGTACCAGCAGAGATCTACTCTGCAAGACTCTGAGTTATTAACCTGCTCCGTGCCTTGGGTTCCTCCTCTTTACGCTGAAGAAAGCTCCGAGGGCAAATGAGACAATGAGCATGGGTGCCTGCCAAACACAGCCACTGTTCTGTCGGGGTGATGGCCATTCACTTTGTGAGAAGGTGGTGATCCTCTCAACAGATTGCCTGCCAACATCCACTGTCTCTCTCCTGAGGGGTCACGCAACATACGGGACAGTCTACATTCCCACTTACCCTCTCCATCAACCTCTACTCCCAAATCCTACCTTCCTACGAGCACAGTGATATGGCAGCTGGGGCACAAAAGCGGCTACCCTGTTTACTGAGAATCGTCTGGAGAGCTTGGAAGATGCAGATTCGGATTCAGCAGGTCTGGGTATGGCCTGAGAGTCTGCATTTCTACTAAGCTCCCAGGTGACATCACTGGTGTCCAGATCATATCTGAAGAGCAAGGCTCTAGGGCTCTGTATTAACATTTAGAAATTTCTTGAGAGAAGCTCCTAGATGGAAGCACTCCCAGTGCTCAGCCTTTGTGGTTCTGGCCCTTTTAGAACAGAGAAGACATAGGGTGATAAGCTTTGCTCTCATTTTTCTCCATTTTTGCCACTCCTGGGTCATTGGCAAAGGGCCGCTGAGCTCAGGCCCCCACCCTGGCTTCCACTAGTGACAGGGCGGTGGGGATCTGCACTCACGGGCTGCTCGGGGGCATTACCTGACTGCGCCGCTGCTTCAGCTTGATTTTGACAAGGAGGATGAGGCAGACCAGGGAGACCACGACGAAGAATGCCAGGAAAATCCCCATATCAAAGTACTCAGTGGGTTGCTGGAACAGAACACAGACACACTGAGTCACAGGTCTCTTCTGCCTGTGACTTGTGTCAGCCCTGGTTGGGATAAGGTTGGGGCAACCCGAGTATGTTTCCCCTTGTTTGCAGGAAACACCTGGGGGTCTGCTCCACCCCAGGCAGTCCCTCATGGGGTGGCTAGGGGGAAGCGTGCAGCAGTCTTGGCCAGGCCTCCTCACAGTCAAGAGAACTCCCACCGTAACGCCTAGCTCCCCATGGAATAGCGCAAAGTTTGCTGTAACTGGTAGGAGAGGTCCATCCAAATAAACACGAATATCGTATTTATGGGACAAAGGAGTGAGTGTCATGTTTTGAGGGAACAGTGATTACTAACCATATAATTAATGGTTTACAGCAACTTAGAAAATTGTATGCTGCTTCCACAGATACGAGCTTCCACTACAGTGAGTCACATTTACCAAAGCGCTCGTTTTTCTTTAAAAAGAAGCCAGCAAAGGCAGTTCTTCTGCAAATCCCTTCTACTTTGAGTTCTTATCTTTTCCTCGGGGCACACTGCCTCCAAAAACCTGGAAGCCACCTCATCTAGGACATGCGGTTAGCCAAGAGGAAGAGAGTTTTGCTAATTGAATGCTGCGGGTATCTAGATATTTTGTGTGAGCAAAAGGATCGTCCTGTGTATGCGTATCTGTGATAAGGTAATAAACCACATATATTTATAACCTGTACCAGGTTCCCAGAATCTTCAGCCTGAGGTTTAGGTGGAAGATGCCAATGAAGAGTTACTGGCCAGCAGTGTCCCTTTGACACGCTCAAGAGAAGCCTTAACGCTATTCATCAACTGCCTAGAAGTCATAAACTTCAATCTCAGTAGAAAGTTAAGTGCTCCAGACTCAAATATAAGTTAGGGGTTTTCAATAATGCAATTATTGAAATGCAATTATTACCCTCCAGGAAGGAAGAAGTACAGGCTTTTTTCTTTAGTTTGGGTCAAATGGAAGGACGGAGACAAGGGAAGCTGGGTACTCTTTCCTTTGATCCTCCTCAGATTTTCAGAAGGAGGCAGGATGGAAAAAACAAGAAAGACAGGAGGCTACCAAGAGGGAACACCAGATGGAAGAGATCAGAGACACCTTAGCACAAAATCATCTATTTCTGGGGGCACCTGGGTGGCTAAGTGGTTGGATGTCTGCCTTTGGCTCCGGTAGTGATCCTGGGGTCCTGGGATCAAGTCCTGCAGTGGGCTCCCCACAGGGAGCTTGCTTCTCCCTCTACCTATGCCTCTGCCTCTCTCTCTATCTCTCATGAATAAATAAATAAAATCTTTAAAAAATCATCTATTTATGGAAGGTCTTTTGGAGTCCTCTCTAAAGGAACACGGGTGGGGACGTGTGGGTGGCTTAGTTGGTTAAGCATCCAACTCTTGATTTTGGCTTAGGCCATGATCCCAGGGTGGTGAGATCATGCTCTGTGTCAGGCTCTGTGCTCAGCACAGAATCTACTTGAGACTCTCTCACTCTCCCTCTGACCCTCCCCCCATTCATGAACACTCTCTCAAACAAATAAAATCTTAAAGAATAATAAAGGTACACGGGTAACGTTTCTCCTTGGCCTCCAGCCTCACGTCTGATCTAAACTGTAGGAACCTAGGCTATATCAGCATTTTAGACAGAAAGAAGACTAGAATAAAAGCCCAAAGGGAAGGTGCCTGGATGAGGCTGGCCAGGGCTGACGGAGGCTCACTCGAGGAGGGCGGTGCTGAATCCTTGCTCGAGCTACTTTCTGTTTGTTGACAATGTTCATCAACTTGATGGCATCTGCACCCTTCACATACACCACTGGCCTCTTGAGCGGGTCTTCTGAGCCCTGGTTTAGCTGAGGAAGAAAAGACAGTTCTGGTTAAAAGACGTTCTTGCTTTAAGAAGCAAGAAAGAGGAGGAGAGGTTGAAGGAAAAGAATAGCTAATACCATTAGAAAATCCTGAAAGTCTTCAAGCATTATAGCCTTGGAGCTTCCAAAGGACAAGGCTGAGAATGAAGCCCGTTTTAGGACAGACTGGGCAGGCTGAAGGCCCAGAAGGGTCTCTGAAAATGCCCCCCCAACCAATGACTTCCTGGCTCTTATCTCCTCTCAATGGCCTTGCTATGGAGTAGGAATGATGTCTAAACATGGGTTTCTAGTGCCAGCAGACAAGTGCAAAGCCCCGAAAAGAGGGTGATGCCTGTGTGACAAGCCCAGCTAACTATATGTGCTTCTCTTGGGGAAGCTGCCACACGGCGTGGCCCGAGGACTTTACCTGGTCAATAGCTTCGGGGTTTTCCGACACATCAAAGATGACCGCAGTGGCTCCCCGCTGCACTGCCCGCTTGGCCTGGCAGAGTTAAAAAGAAGAGGTTGGCACTCTTGGTCCTCTTACCTTTCCAAAGCTGGCCTTGGAAATCAGACCTGTATTCGAATGCAGAAATCTGACAGTCACCAACTTCCGTGACTTTGGGCAAGTTACTAACTTGTCACTATAAAAAAAGGGACAATGCCACCTACATTGTACAGCTAATCTGAGAACCAGAGTTGTTAGACGAGGTGAAAATCAGTGCTTGATTCACCTTTGTCTTCCTATCCAAACATTAAAAACAAATCAACAACCTGCCCAGTCAGCATGAAGGTATTGGTTTCAGTATTTTCTGCTCTAAACACTGAGCCACTGGCAAACCAAAGTAGATGCCTTTGGTCTTTCTCTTGTGGTCCTTCTTCCTCCCTCTGTCAGCCAGGGCTGCAGTTAGGACAGCACACTGAGTATTTCCAGAGGAATCTCGAAATAGTCAATTTAAATAACTGACACAAGCCGAAGACCTTTGGAGATGCTGTCAGAGGGAAAAGCTATGAAAAAAAAAATGTAAATGGGGATTTAGAGCAGTTGGCTGCCAAACCTGGCTACACATCAAAAACCACTTGGGAAGTTTGTAAAGCAGATTTCCTGGCTTGAACCACAGAGACTGATTCAGCAGGGTTGGAGTGAGGCCCAGGAAACTGAGTTCTGGAAGTTTTTGGAGGGATTCGGATGATCCAACCACTTGGGGAACTATGGATCAGAGAGACATGATGAGACTGTTTTAGGAACAAATGTGAAAGGGGTGGGATTCTTTCTATCCCCACAAATCTTCTAACGTCATGTTCAACTAAGCAGACAACAGGGTAAAAGCTGTGGAAGAACAAGACATAAGACATAACCCTTGCTTTTAGGAACTGGAATCTTGTTAGAGAAGTTAAACCTCTAAATTGGGGGCAGGGGGAACGGTGAACAACAACAACCCAAACCTCCTATAAGATGGGAAAATAGTGGCTGGTGTTTAGAGATCAATTCCATGAACCAGAATGCTTGACGAAGAATACAATTTGAATTGAAGAATTCCTATTGAGAGAATAATCACTACAGGGAGGCAGCCTAAGGACGCGTCACTGATCCTAACTAGCTGACAAAGTGGCTGGACCAATGGCTTCTCAAGCCCACTAGAGGGCAGTCTTACCCCGCAGCTTTAACAAGACCATTCCCTGTACCACGCACCGAAGCAGCAGGACTGTCACATCCTCAGGGGCACTGCAAAGTCCCCAGCAACTAACTAGCTGAGCTGAGCCAAGCTGAGCCAGGGTGCCCTGGGTGTGTGCCACAGGAGCTGTCCTTCTGCCCCTGGGACTCCTCCGTGAACGGAGAATCCATGTATTTCAAGTCCCTTCTACCGCTTGTCCATCCTACCCCATCGCCTCACCAGCAAGCTGCAGACAGGAGTGACTCTCAGGAGCTATTCCTGGCTCTGCCTCTGACAAGCTGCCAATGGTGGGCAAGTCACTGAATCTGAGTCCCAGTCTCAGTTTCCCCACCTGTAAGAGGAGGAGGAAGCCTTCTGTGATTATCACTAGGGTCCCTTTCAATTCCTAATCTTGACCACTTAGCTGAGAGGCAGGCGGCTGTCCAGAGCCATGGGGTAAGGGTCACAGTGGCCCTATTACCCGCCTCCAGTGAGAGAGGAAATGATGGCACAGTGAGAAAACCTGAGGCCATGTGGCATAACCTTCCTCCAAAAGGCTCTATAGGGACAGACTCCCTTGCTGGAGGCCAACAGTTCATGGGCCCCAGAGTTAACAGTTAAGTTGGTGCTGTGTCTTCTACTCAGGTGATATCCTAGTCTTCACAATTCTTTCCTAGATGGAGAGGGGCCCCAAGTAAAAGCACCAAAAACGAGGTAATAAACAGGACCCCTTGTTCCTTTATTTGGCTTTCATTCCACCATCAAGTGCATCAACTAGCACCTGAGGGAATGTGCATTCAGACTCGTCCTGGTCAGGAGTACCCAGCCCCTCCAGCTTGCCGGTGCAGGTGGAGAGCCTGACAGTGGCAGAAGAAAGGCTGCAGGACCTGCAGGAGTGCAGTGTTTCAGTCATGTGGCTGTTTCTGCTTCCAGGCTCCCCTGCTCCACAGGAACATGGAAAGCTCAAGGACCTGGAGGTGGGGCATGACCCACCCAGGACAGGCACTTTTTAAAAGGCATTTTATTTATTTTTTTAAAAGATTTATTTATTTATTTTATGATAGACATAGAGAGAGAGAGAGAGAGAGGCAGAGACACAGGAGGAGGGAGAAGCAGGCTCCATGCCGGGAGCCCGACATGGGACTCGATCTGATCCCGGGACTCCAGGATCAGGCCCTGGGCCAAAGGCAGGCACTAAACTGCTGAGCCACCCAGGGATCCCCAAAAGGCATTTTAAACAAAATCTAGGATGGTTGAAGGGTCTTCTGGTATCTATAGTAAAAACTGCAGGTCAGGAATAAGGTGCTTAAAACCCAATTAACAAACATACCTATTTAACAGACTCAGACATGACCAAGTACAAATATTTTGAGAAAATGAGAATTCTCACAGTTGACTTACTTTAATGGAAGTTGCTATTAAATAAGTTTGTATTTCCTGCCCCTACCAGGACTAGTCAGGAGGGGAGTCAACCCAGGGTCCTGTTGAGAACTGGACTGTCAGGAGCCAGCTCAGGATTTACAATAGGCCATGAATAATCCAGATTTAGAAAATGACACATTTATTATACTATTCCCAAAGCAAATTAAAAAACACAGACCACTACCTTGGTCACACTTTCCCTCTTGCCTCACATTTTCAGTTAAAAATAGAGGAGGCATATTCCTGAACCAATCTTCACATCTAAGATCATTTCTTTGTTTTACCTACTCAAGCTTGGGCCCAAATATTCTTTTTTCTTTCTTTCTTCCAAGTAGGCTCCAGGTGGAGCCCAACATAGGGCTTGAACTCACGACTCTGAGATCAAGACCTGAGCTGAGATCAAGAGCCAGATGCTTAACCAACTGAGCCACCAGGTGCCCACCCCCATCCCTGTCCCTGAATACTGTTTCAAAACAAATCTAAACCATAGATTGGGAGATTACATAGTTGGGAGATAGTGGTCTTGTGATCATCAGAAACTCTATAAAAGTCACAAAACTCTCAAGATAAGGCTGTTTCAAAGAAAGGATGGAAAAGACACAGCCTGGTGGATATGGCTAGATAAAGGTCATGGGTAAACCAGACTACTGTTACAGAAGGCAGTTACCCTTGAACTGTGTGCAGACTGGCATGGAAAGAAGGGCATGAGAAGGATGTGAAGAGCAGGAAGGCCTCCCCAAAGCAGCCCAAGGCCCTCCCTGCCATCACTGCCCTCTGTATGCCCTTCCCCCAGTCCCTCCCATACAACCCTCTTCAGCTCTGCTGCTTCAGTCAGGCAAGGGCAGGTGGGCAGGTCAACACCAGCCAGCAGGTGACTAGAAGCCCAGTGCTAGAATGTGGAACCAAAGGTTGTCATGGTCCTTTATTTGCCTTTCCAGGGCTGCAAGGCCCAAGGCTAGAATTTGTCCACAGCTACTGACACAAGTATCAAAAATGCAAACATCTGCACACTTACTTACATTTTGCAAAGTACAAATTTCAAGCCCCGGGACACAGGGTCCTACTGTGGTTGGCACTTACTACAATGCAAGTCTCCTATGGTTATTCAATAAATGTTTATTCTGAGTGAAAGAAAGCCTGCCTAGCACCATTCTCTTGGGTTGCTGCTCCCTGAATGTGGATGTGGTTTTTCCCTACGGAAAGCGCTTCTATCAATATGTTTGAGTCTCGAATTTCCAGATGGGAATGAGGCATTCAGATGAGAACAGTTCCCACTACTACCTTGAACTCAAAGCCTCCAGTCTGCTTTAGTTTCAATTAACTTCTAGAATTCCTATCAGGAATGGATCTGGCACCCTCCCCAGTGTGTGCAGTCACACCCAGACTTGGTTACTCCCAGCAGCCCTTGGGCACAGACTCCATTTTTCATCATTGTTTATATTTGTATAGCACTGGATGTGGTGGACTCAGTGCCTAATATTTATTATGGGAAATCTCTCACAGAATATCATCTTAATCGAAAATAACCCAAAAGATGACAAAAAAATCTTTGTCCCAAACTCCTGACCACATGATAACCAAGGAAACTGGATGGTTAATGCTGATATGAAGACCTGTGTCTTCAACCTCTTATAGGAAGTCCTGATATTTGGGGGCTCCAAGGCGGCTTTTTTTTTCTTTTTTTGATTTTGTGTTTGGTGGGGTTTTTTTTTTACACTTATCATAAACTTCCAACAAATCATTACAAATTCCTTGTAGACATCTTTAAAGCTGTGAAATACCCTACTTCACATACTCTACTTACTCATGTATTTTTGATATTTGAACTATTCCAGTTTTGGAATAGTTGTGCTATTCCAAAGCTGTGAAATACCCTACTTCACATACTCTACTTGGAATAGTTGTGCTATTCCAAAGCTGTGAAATACCCTACTTCACATACTCTACTTACTCATGTATTTTTGATATTTGAACTATTCCAGTTTTTTACTATAATAATTAATGCTACATTGAACAAATTGTGGCTTACATTTCAAATTTCCTTAGAAGGGAGGAGGCCCAGGGCCAAAAAATATGAAGATTATAGTAAGAGTAATAATACAATCCACATAGGCTTTTAATTCCCCTCCTTTTAAACCCACTCAATTCTTAATTTATCTGTAGTGACAAAATAGAATGGTGCAGAAATTACAAAAAAAATTTGTCAACACATTTAACTTCTGGGTAAAGTGACCTGTGCTGAGCTGGCTAGGAGAAGGAAGTCAGTTTGAGAGTAACTCTCTGCATATACTTCATATGCAGAAAGATACTCCAGTGTGAACTACCATGTGTTGATCATACCTACAGATTCTTCAAGGTCAAGTTCATGTGCCACCCCTCCCATAAGACAAGTTTTTCTCTACAGCTTACTGCAGCTCTTCTCCCT